TATTAATTACGCGACATAAGTAATTCCCCAAATTTTTTTACTACATTAATAAAATATCGAAAGCCAAAAAGAATAATTATAAAAAAATAATAATATAAAATAATAAAAAAATAAATAAACAAGCCTCTCCCGCGAAAATAACCGCCAGAAGAGATTACCCATAAATATAATTTGTCGAGAAAAATTCCAACGCTCGAAGCCTGATGATTGCGTCTAACATGAAACTGCCTGTCGCCTCTGAGTGTTGATTTCAATGTTCACTTATATATTTACATACGCTCTCTCTCGGATATTGAGCACTTTATCCCATAAATATAGCACACCATAAAGCTATATTTCTTCATATATATATATATATATATATTGAACAGGTTAAGATTGTAGTAATCCGAGAAACATCCTCTTGGGAGTCGGTTCTACAGATCAGTGGTTCGAGCAAAGAAGCTCTGTAAATTACTTCTCACCGATGGAATACGGAAAGAATCATGTTAGTTTGTCGCAATATAAGTGATATGGTGGGTCCTAGTTCTGAATGTTAGCCTTGACGGAACCAGGGAATGTAGGTGATCCGAGCACTTTCCATAGAAGTAGCAATAGAGAGAGGCTTTCCATAGAAGTAGCAAAAGTGAGAGGCTTTCCACATCCTGCTTGTGAGAGAGAGAAAGGTTGGAGGTTGGAAAATAATTTGTCACCCACATGGACTCGGAGACGCCTTTGGAGTATGGAAAGTAAGGACTATGCAGCTTTCTCTTAAATATGACAACAGTATTCCATGTTAGGCCTGATCTGGCTCTTGTAAAGGTAGCATGTGGAGTCAAATACTTACTGGAAAGGTACAGGGAGTTGACCAATTTTTTCTTCTTTTATGAACTGATTACATGTAAAATTGTCCAAAAGCTATATATGCAACTGCACATTAATTCACTTCTGTTATTTAATAATTTACGGTTGCTCATAATTTTATGATCATTAACTTCTCAGAGAGACATAAACTACATTTATTGCCTTTACTGCTGAAGTGTTTAGCATTCTTTACGTAATCCCAGGTCATCGTTTGATTTCTGTTCTCGCTTTGTCTTTTTCTTTTCTTTTTTTTTCTTTTTTTTGATTATAGTGGAATTAAATATCTAACAACAGTAATACTTCAACCAAACAACACCACGAACTCGCGAGACCCAGAAATATTAACCAAACTGTAAACAAAGATTGGTACTTGTAGATTAGACTAGGCATAAATCTCCGACTCGAACTGGCGTAGGGTTCTCTGTATTTTTACTAATATATACTTAATCTCACTGTTATTTAGCATTGAACATCAATTGATATATGTAGGTATTTGTATATGAACACTTACACGTACATTTATTTATATTTATTCATTTGATTACATATATCTATATATATATATATATATATATATATATATTACTGTTCAAAAGTTTGCGATAAAGCCTGGTAATTTTTTAAATTAAAAAAAAAAAGTAGTTGTTTTGTACTTTAAATAAGAGAAAATTATTATACAGGTTTAAAAAAAAAGTGATTTTTTTTATTAGAAATTTTTTATCTCATTCTCTGATGAAGCATTAATAAAAGCGAAACATGTGAGATTTATAAACCTTTCCCATATATATATATATATATATATATATATATATATATATATATATATATATATATTACTGTCAAAAAATTTGAGATCAACCCTGATAATTTTGATCTGGGTTTTCATATGCACGGGTCTTTCTTTTCCTTGCTGCATCCTTGGCTTTCTTTTTTTGCAGTCTGGTCCTATGTTGACGGAGATTTCTTTTTGTGATGCATACTGTTGCCGTATGCGACAGGCAACAATAAACTACAGAAGAACACAAAAATTAATTGCTGCATTAACATTTAAGCTTTTCTTTTAAGAGTTCAACGTTAATTCTTCTGTCGATATTTTTAATTTAAAGATTCTGATATACGTAAGTTCTTACTTCCCGTGCAAGCAATTACTTTTATTTCATGGGTGACATTCGCTGGATTTCGTAATTAATTTTGATTATACCCAAATTTATTTCCAAATTATAAAAATTATTATCGTATAAAGAAATTAATCACAAAAAATCACGTAAAAATCTCCGAAATTAAACGCAGTAATGAAAACTTGGTAATCCAAAATTTCAGGATTGTGGGTCCGGATCCAGCCTTGAACGTTTTTAATTTGCTCTCAGAGTCAGCCTCATTCCCAAATGGTATGCTATGCTGGTCTGCGGCCTATAAAATTGAAAAAGGTTGACACACTAACATTTACATTTATTTATATAGAAGAAGATGGTACGTTTAAAAGTTAGGGAGCTGTTTCCCTTCAATTGAAAAGCGTGTCACACAGATTTTCGCATTTATTATATAAAGAAGATAAAGCTATTGAAAGTTAGAGAGTTGTGTCCTTTTTATTGAAAAAGTATGACACACACAGACATGTTCGCATTTATTTATATATATATATATATATATATATATATATATATATATATATATAGTCATCGACATACGAGCCTGTTTCGCTGTATTACAGCTCTTCAGTGTGGATAGACAAACAATTGGTTCAAACTGTTATCGAAACCCGACCGATTTGGCATCAGTCGGAGATTCTACTACTAAGCAAATTCCAACGTATTAAATATTCATGTATACAGACGCCATCAGCCAGAGTGCTCAGTTCATTAATGATGAGCGTTGAGTTAATAGCGGCGACAGCTACTGTTTTGGAATTACCTTTTACTAAATAGTGCTCGATCGAAATAACAAGAGCGTAACATATATATATATATATATATATATATATATATATATATATATATATATATATATATTCATACATGTTTCATTAAATAATATAGACAACTGTTGTCTATTTATTTTATGTAAATTCTTTTCATAACGTATGATAAGCTTAATAACATTATCATTAAACGAAGAAAGAAAATCACAATATTGATTCATATTTTTTTTAATCCAATCTAAGCTTTCTGCTTACATAAGCCATTATCAAAGATGTCAATTACTGTACAATATATTAAGCAATATACGGACAAGACAGTGATGATAGTCTGTGATTGTTTACATGGATGATTTCCAAGCAACGATAAACACGGGCATATATGACGCTAAAAGCGAAAATCGCACCGCAGCTCATGACATCATACATGACCACGCGAGAGTGAATTCGAGAAGTTTTAAACAACATGCCTGGCCGCACACACAATTCTGTAAAATCCTTGTCGAAAACACAATTATACTTCAACATGAAAACAATAGACAAAAACTAAAAATTCTTGAAGCAATATACATCAAACAGTTGAAACTCAACCTAAACAAAATGAAATCTCTACAAATATTCTTAAATGTCTATAATTGGTAACAGAAGCCATTGGTTTATACCAACGGCTTCCCATACTTAATACGTCTCGAATTCAGTCTCACATGGAAGTACTATTCTTGCGAGTGACATTCAAAGGCGTCGGACACCAGTATTGTTCAACAGCGTTACTATAGTTGTATCTACGATTACAAAGTCTCTACTACAATGAGTATTACGAAAGTGACAACGGGTATTCGTTGACATCACAAAAGGGTCAAACGAGTATTCATTGACATCACAAAAGTGTCAAACGAGTGTTCGTTGACATCACAAAAAACTAAGATATTATTTAATTAGAGAAGCTTTTAATTGTTTTTATGAATAATACATATTAAAGACAATATTATCCGAAGAAAAAAAAATTCGATGAAAAATTATTTACAAGATTTGATATTTCTTCTTTTGACAATTATAAATTGAATAATTTATATTATAAAGTTTTTAAATGTTTTAAAATTCAGTTTCAGTGTGGTAACTCTTAGAAAATATTGTTATTAAGTAAAAGTTTATTTACTAATCAAATATTGTAAAACATGTTACAATCTGACGTCCCCGTATTTTTAAAAGAATTTCGATTTGTTTTTTTATATGTGTATATACGTACAGAATTTCCAAGTATGGATTCTCAAACCTAACATTATCATTACAAGTTCATTTTTTTCAAGGGTTGTACTCCGTTAATGAAAAACTTTCATATAAATTGTGTCGTCTGCTCCACCATACTTAAGTATGAACACGTTCGGCGGTAATTCGGCTGTCAATAAACCGTTTGACACGTCAGAAAAACAAGACCCAGTGGTTAAGAAATTGCGTGTATATAACATTTTATGTTATACGTAATATTTATTTAAAATCATATTAATTTAAATTTGCTAATTTTCTTCAAATAACTTTTCAAAAATATATATTTTATTTTTGCAAGATTTTTAAAACTGAGAATTAACTTCCTTTACAAATTTGTCAAAATTTTTATCGCTTTTGCTGAAAAAAATCAGTTCTGGTCAATATAATTTCTGTTTAAAATACACCACAGAGTATTTTGCTTACGAGAAATAGTAATTTTTTAATCCTTCAGCTTTCAATTAAAGCTAAAATAATAGCTACAAGAAAGCTTTTTTTTCATTTTAAAAATTTATTTTAAACCTTATATATACCGAATTAGTGGAGGTACCTAATTTGACATAACTTTGTAACACAGCCATTACTTTAATTGCATCGTTCTTTTGCCGCACGAAAATTTATTTTCGAATTTAGTCGAGAGCTGAAAACTGATTGTGAAGGAAAGTGACTACATATAAGTTGAGTAGACTTTTTTTATTCCTCTGTAAAAATCAGTTTTCTTTTGCTGGGGTCACTTTTTCTTTTGTGTATGTGTATTTGAGTGTAGGGGTGATTTTGTTTAGTATTCTTGGGAGAGGAATATGAAAGGTAGACGAAGAGGTGAAAATAAATCACGAAATATACCATGTATATCAAATTGGGATATAAATAATAGATGAAAGGGAAGAAAAAGAAAGAAGGAAGAAAGAAAGAAAATGAGTGAATTGGTAAATGAAAGAAAACATGAAAGAAAAATGATAAGGGGAACGAAGAAAGAAAATTATTCAATTAGAAAGAAAGAAATCAATTCGAACAATAAAGCAAGAATGAGAAGAGAATGAGAAAAGAATGAGAAAAGAAAGAATGAAAAATAAATAAAGAAAGAAAGAAGAAAGAATGAGAGAAGAAAAATAAGAAAAGAATGAAAAAAAAGGAGAAAAGAAAGAATGAGAAAAATAAAGAAAGAAAGAAAAAGAAAGGAACCAGAAAAAGAAAAGGATGAGAAAGAAAGAAAGAAAAAGAAAATAAAAGAATGAGAAAAGAAAGGAGAAAAATAAAGAAAGAAGGAAAAAAGAAAGAAATGAAAAAAGAAAAGAATAATAAAAAAGAATGAGAAAAGAAAGAATTGGAAAAGAAAAGAATGAGAAAAGAAATAATTAGAAAAATAATGAAAGAAAGAAAAAAGGAATGAGAAAAAGGAAAGAATAAGATAAAAAAGAAAGTAATTAATCAAAAGAGAAAACTAAGACAAACTAAAAAAATAAAAAAAAATAAAAAGAATTGAAAAATAACTAGAAAGAATGTAAAAAAATAAAAATCTTAAAAAGAAATAAAGATGGGCACAAGGAAAGAAACTAATTGAATGAATTAATGAAATAGAAAATGAAGAAGAAATCAAAATGAAAAGAAGGAAGAAACGACTAAAGTAAAAACAAAGAAAGAAAGAAAGAAAGAAATCGGAAACAGAACGAAAGAAAATAAAACAAATTTAAAAAGAAAGATTGAAAAAATAAATAGAAGGAACGAAAGAAAGTAAAATTAATAAAAGGAAGGAAAGAAGGACAGAAGGAAACTGATTGAATAAGTGAACGAAAAAGAAAAAGGAGAAAGCAAAATTAAAAAGAAAGAAAACGATTATGTAGAAAGATAGAAAGAAACTGATTAAATAAATGAATGAAATGAAAAATGAATAGGAAGTAAAACCAAGCAACAAATCGGAAACGTAATGAAAGAAAGAAAGAAAGAACAAAAAAGATATAAAGAAAGAAAGAATAAAGAAGGAGAAAATGAAAGAAAGAAAGAAAGAATCGAATCCGAAAAAGAAAGAAATAAAGACAATAAGCCACTTTGAAATGAAAGATTGGATAAATACCTAGGAAGAACGAAAGAAAGGAAAATTAATAAAAAAGAAAGAAAGAAAGAAAGAAAGAAAGAAAGAAAGGTAGAAAGAAGGACAAAAGGAAAGAAATTGACTGAATAAGTGAACGAATGAGAAAAACAAGGAAAAGTAAAAATGAAAAGTAGAAAAAAATGACTAAAGAAGAAATGAAAAATGAAATAAAGAAAAAAATGGTGGAAAAAAACGAATAAGAAAACTGAAGAAAGAAAGAAATCAAGGAAGGGAGGCGGAAGAAAGAAACGAAGAAAGTAAGAAAGCCAGGGGAAAAAAAAGACAGTAAAATATTTTAATTAATTAGGGTAGATGATGAAAATTCTGTATAAGAAAGAAAGAAACAAACAAACAAAGAAACAAAATGGAGAAACGTAGAGAATGTTTAAAGAGAAAGAAAGTCTGAATTTATTGAAAAGAAAGAAAGAAAGAAAGAAAGAAAGAAAGAAAGAAAGAAAGAAAGAAAGAAAGAAAAAAAACGCAGGATTATAGTTTTTCAAGTTAGAAGGGGAGTCAGAATTAGTTGGAAAGATACATATGAAATGGAGGAACGTAGAGAAAGGTTAGAGAGAAAGAAAGTCTGACTTGACTGAAAAGAAAGAAAGAAAGAAAGAAAAAAAGAAAGAAAGAAAGAAAGAAAGAAAGAAAGAAAGAAAAACGCAGGAACATAGAGTTTTATAAATTAGAAGGGGAGAAATATAAAATGGAGAAACGTAGAGAAATGCTAGAGAGAAAGAAAGTCTGACTTGATTGAAAAGAAAGAAAGAAAGAAAGAAAGAAAAGAAAGAAAGAAAAAAAACGCAGGAACATAGAGTTTACAAATTAGAAAAAATATAAAATGGAGAAACGTAGAGAAATGCTAGAGAGAAAGAAAGTCTGACTTGATTGAAAAAGAAAGAAAGAAAGAAAACGCAGGAACATAGAGTTTTATAAATTAGAAGGAGAAATATAAAATGGAGAAACGTAGAGAAATGCTAGAGAAAGAAAGTCTGACTTGATTGAAAAGAAAGAAAGAAAGAAAGAAAGAAAAACGCAGGAACATAGAGTTTTATAAATTAGAAGGGAAGAAATATAAAATGGAGAAACGTAGAGAAATGCTAGAGAGAAAGAATGTCTGACTTGATTGAAAAGAAAGAAAGAAAGAAAAGAAAGAACATAGAGTTTTTAAATTAGAAGGAAGAAATATAAAATGAAAGAAAAGATCAAAAGAATGTCTGACTTGATTGAAAAGAAAGAAAGAAAGAAAGAAGGAAAGTAAGAAAGAAAGAAAAGATCAAAAGGCAAGGAAGATTTCAGCAAAGGAAGTTAGAAAGCAAAAAATACAAAGAAAATATTAAAAGAAAAATCTAGCCCTACCCCACCCTGACAACAAAAATAAAATAAAATTGCCAGGAAATAAAAGATAAAAAATATAATCTCAAGTAATGGGAACGAATGGCAAAAGCCCATTTTTCTTTTTATTCCGATGCGAGACAAAACGTGACCACAAACGAGATGTCAGATTACGGACGGAGCTGAGGCCAAGCAGCAATCGAAAATCGGCCGGCGTAGTAGATTGAGCCAAGCGGAATGAAAGGGCCGAAGGAGCTTGGGCGAGTTGAAATAAGTGAGCCAAGTGGAAGCTACCAAGGTCATCAGAAGAAGTAATTGAGAAGAGGAATTATGTCGAGGGTTGCGGCAACCTAGCTAAGGAGCCATTACGAGGAGATGAAAAGAGATTTACCCACCCTCTCTACCAACAGCAATAACAAAAAGGAATCAGAAAAGAGAGAAATAATCTTGATTTCTTTAAGGTTAATTAGTGACACTACGGTATGGATTACAAAAGTGGAATGGCCGATGTTGGAGGTAGTCGAACCGCAGAGAAACAGGCTTCAAGGATCCTCCATATCTCATCGAAAACGATTGCATCCTTCCTTTGATTTTGGCATGACAGCTATTAAGAATAATGATTTGGGACTTTAAAACATAAGCCGTCTCTTCTTGACCGCGTAAATTTTAACCGCGTACGCGAACCTTCTTATATATAACTCCTGGGTCGGTGGGAGTTCGCCATCAAACGATTTTTATTAAGCTACTCTCAAGAAATATTTGCTAATGTCGTAATTTGCGGCGGTATTGTGGCTTTTTGCCTAAGAGGATTTTCGTAAATATTTTCACAACTGGTTGTGAAGTTATGATTAACAAGCTCGACTAGTTAAACCTTGCTTTATTCAAATGAGCGCTATTCTCACCGGCTGCCCAACAAAAAATAGAATCATTTTCAAACAAAGATACGATGAATAATTATTATACTATTATATTTTTCTCTGTTGGCTTCTTTTCTTTTCTCCTTCACATCCGCATACTTCAGTCCATCCTGCTTCCATTAAATATATTCTTCTTTTTCACACTTCCTTTTTCTTCTTCGCTACTTTCTTCTTGCATTCTTAAATGTCATTCCTTTATTCTTTTTGCATTTCTTTCCCGCCTTTTTTCTCCTTTCACTTTACTTCTTTCCCTCCTTTTCTTCTCCCACGCTATTTCTTTTCTGATTTTTCTTTCTTTTTCTATCTTCCCTTCTCTCTTTTCTTCTTTCTCTCCTTTTCTCCTTTCACACTCCTTCCTTTCTCATTTTTTCTTTCGTTTTCTATCTTTCCTTATCTCTTTTCTTCTTTCCCCCTTTTTCTCCTTTCACACATCTTCCTTTCTCATCTTTTCTTTCTTTTTCTATCATTCCTTCTCTCTTTTCTTCTTTCTCTCCTTTTCTCTTTCACATTCATTCCTTTCTAATTTTTTCTTTTTCTATATTTTCTACTCTATTTTCTTCTTTCTCTTCTTTTCTCTTTCACACTCATTCCTTTCTCATTTTTCTTTCTTTTTCTATCCATCCTTCTCTCTTTTCTTCTTTCCCTCCTTTTCTCCTTTCACACTTCTTCCTTTCTCATCTTTTCTTTCTTTTCCTATCTTTCCTTCTCTCTTTTCTTTTTTCTATCCTTTTCGCTTTCACACTCATTCTTTTCTCATTTTTCATTTTTTTTCTATCTTTCCTTCTCTCTTTTCTTCTTTCTCTCCTTTTTCTTTCACACTCATTCCTTTCTCATTTTTCATTCTTTTTCTCTCATTCCTCTTTTCTTTTCTTCTTTCTTTTTTTTTCTTCTTCCACTGTATTTCTTTTCTGATTTTTCTTTCTTTTTCTATCTTTCCTTCTCTCTTTTCTTCTTGCTCTCCTTTTTTCCTTCACACTCATTCCTTTCTCATTTTTCTTTCTTTTTCTATCTTTCCTTCTATCTTTTCTTCTTTCTCTCCTTTTCTCTTTCACACTCATTCCTTGCTAATTTTTTCTTTCTTTTTCTATCTTTCCTTCTCTCTTTTTTTTTTTCTTTTTCTCTCCTTTTTTTCTTTCTCACTTTTTCCTTTCTGATTTTTCTTTTTTTTCTATCTTTCCTTCTTTTCTTTCTTCTTCATTCCTTTCTCATTTTTCTTTTCTTTCTTTTCCTCATTTCTTTTCTTTTTTTTTCTTTTCTCATTTTCCTTTCTCTTTTCTTTCTTTTTCCTTTTTCTTTCACTCTTTTTCCTTTTTTGATTTTTCTTTCTTTTTCTATCTTTCCTTTCTTTTCTTTTCATTTTTTTCTTTTTTCCTTCACTCATTCCTTTTCTTCATTTTTCTCCTTTTATCTTTCCTTCTTTTTCTTTTCTTCCTTTCCTTCATCTTTTCTCATTCCTTGTTATTTTTTCTTTCTTTTTCTATTTTTTTTATCTTTTCTTCTTTCTCTCCTTTTCTTTTTCACACTCATTTCTTTCTATTTTTCTTTCTTTTCTATTTTTCTATCTTTCTTTCCTTCTTACCTTCCTTTTCCTCTTTCACACATTTCTTTCCTCATTTTTTCTTTTTTCTATTTTCCTTCCTTCTTTTCTTTCTTTTATTTCCTTCTTCCCATTCTTTCTTTTTTTTCCCTATTTATTCTAATTTTTTTCTTTTTTCTTCCAATTTTTTTTCAATCTTTCATTTTTTCTTTCTCTTTTTTTTTCGTTTTTCGTTCTTCTTTCATCTTCCTGTCCCCTCGTTTTTCTTTTCTTCATTTTTTTTTATTTTTTTTTCTTTTTCATATTCTTTCTTTTTTTTTTTATTTTCTATCCTTCTTTGCCTTCCTTTTCTTTTTGTCCTTTCTTTTTTTTTTTTTCCTTTCATTCATTCCTGCCACTCGTTCTTAAGTTCTGCCTTTCTTCTCTTCTTCTTTCTTGTTTATTTTATTTTAATTTTTCTTTCTTTTTTTTTTCCTTTTTTTTCATGCCCAGGAGGTGAGGGAGTTTCCTTATCTTGTTTTGAAAACAGGATTCGATTCACAATACGATCATTTCCTTGCCATTGTTTTTTTTTTGATATATATATATATATATAGCCGCCTTCTCTTTTCTTTTTTCTATTTAATTTTATTTTAATTTTCTTTTTTTTTTATTTTTATTTCCGGTCACAAGGAATATCGAGCTGCTATTTTCAAAACAACACCAAAGTAAGAAATATCTTGTTTGAAATAAAAACCAGAAAACAGGATTTGATTTTTTAACAATACGATCAATTTATCTTGAATTTAAGTTTTTCTTAACCAGATATATATATATATATACATATCAGACCATTTAACAAACAGAACCTATTTGCCCGGTAACATCAGACTATATTATGTTAAAACAGAAGTATATTTCCGGTAACATCAGACTATACAAAAGCCCATAACAAACAGAACTTATATTGCCCGGTAACATCAGACTATATAAAGCCCATAACAAATAGAACCTATATTGTCCGTAACATCAGACTATATAAAGCCCATAACAAACAGAATATATTGCCCGGTAACATCAGACTATATAAAGAAAACTATATATTGCCGGTAACATCAGACTATATAAAAGCCCCATTTTTATATTTTCCGGTAACATCAGACTATATATATAACAAACAGAAAATTGTCCCCAGTTTAACAAACAGAACCTATATTGCCCGTATAAACAGACTATATAAAAGCCCATAACAAACAGAACCTATTGTCCGCAACATCAGACTATATAAAGCCCAATAACAAACAGAATATATTGTCCGGTAACATCAGACTATATAAAGCCCATATTCAAACAGAACTTATATTGTCCGGTAAAATCAGACTATATAAAGCCCATAACAAAACAGAACCTATATTGTCCGTAACATCAGACTATATAAACATCAGACCATATAAAGCCCATAACAAACAGAACCTATATTGCCCGGTAACATCAGACTATATAAAGCCCATAACAAACAGAACCTATATTGTCAAAAACATCCGGTAACATCAGACTATATAAAGCCCATAACAAACAGAACCTATATTGTCCGGTAACATCAGACTATATAAAGCCCATAACAAAACAGAACCTATATTGTCCGGTAACATCAGACTATAAAGCCCATAACAAACAGAACATATATTGTCCCATCAGACTAACATAACAAACAGAACTATTGTCCGGTAACATCAGACTATATAAAGCCCATAACAAACAGAACCTATATTGCCCGGTAACATCAGACTATATAGCCCATAACAAACAGAAACCTATATTGTCCGGTAACATCAACATATAAAACAGAACATATATTGCCCGGGGTAACATCAGACTATATAAAGCCCATAACAAACAGAACC